ACTTAAAATATTGAAAGTTATTTTTTTTATGTAGGCAAGTTTGGATTCTCCACTCAAAAAGGTGTCAGATGAGATTGAAATACACTAACATAGTTTTATTTTACTTAGCAAAGTTTTACAGTATGTCCTGGCATCAATATAGTCTGTCAAATTGCCTATCTTTGACCTTTGCCAGACAAGATATAAAAAGCTGCCTGGCTGGTGGAGAAAGACAAATACTATATGATTTCACTTATTTGTGGAATCTAAAAACAAAACAAAACAAAACAAACAAAACAGCAGGAGACTCATAGACACTAAGAAGTGACTGGTGGTTACCATGGGGGAGAGGTTGGGTGGGTGAGTGGGGTCAGGGAGGCAGATAAAGGGACACAAAAATTCTCAGTCATAATATAAATTGGTCATGGAGATGTTAGTACAGCATGGAGAATATAAGCAATGATTCAGTAACATCTTTCTATGTTGACAGATAGTAACTGCACTAGTTGGGGTGAGGATTTAATAATATGGGTAGCTGGTGAACCACTGTGTTGTATACTTGAAACTAATGTAAGATTGTGTATCAACTATAAAAAAAACTGCTTGGCTTGTTACAGCTACAATTCTGTAGTGAGAGTTGATTTACATTGTACTGTATCTGAAGTAGTGTAAGTGTTCGATTCAATACCATGCTAATAACTGTTTAACAGCTGGCTTTATAGAAAGAAAAAAACCCTGATTTGTAGTGTTTGCTGATTTCAGTGATGTAAATACTTCCATCATGGCCCACTCCAAGCTACCCACATGAAATTATTGAAACACATAGTTGGAAAGAGATGCTGACAGTCAGTTCATCTAAACCTGTATACTGAGTCCAGAGCACTGCTAGTTAGACATTAATAATAATAGCATATTTTTTAAGAATTGTCATGAACACTTACTTACATGTCCAACACTGTTCTAAATGCTTTATATGTATGGTGTATTTCATTTAATCCACACAACACCCTATGAGGTAATTCTACTTTATCATTTCCACTTATAGGAATCTGCATCTCAGAAAGATTAAGTAATTTCCTCACATTATGCAGCTGGGAAGAAGCAGATCATAGATTCAAAGAGACAATCTGACCCCAGGAGCCTCTTCACCAACATATTATACTATGTTGCTTTCAATGTTAAGAAATTAAATTATGTTCAGCATAGTTTTCATGTTAAATGTATTTTGATTTAATACAAATGCATCTTATTCTTTAAAAATTTTAAGTAAATTGTAGTTCTGTGAATTTGCAATGTCCAGCTAAATATTTCTCATGCAACGAACCAAAGTGACTCATCACAGCAGAAAACTGTACAACGGAGAAAGCAACAGAAGTAATTATAAATCTGTATGATGTAAGTGATAGACATTTTCCATCTTAAAATCATATAAAAGATTCTTGTAAAAGGTTAATTGAAAAGAAATCACAACTATTTTTTAAAAAGGTGTTATTTATAATCACCTGAATTTCAAAATAATACACACTCTTGCTTTCATTTCAGCAGTAAAGTATCTTTTAATTGAAGCTGAAATTTATTAGAACATCAAATGGATGTTGTAAATAGCTGAATATCCCCACCTGGTTTTCCAGAACAGAGAGCCCATGAAAAATATTATTGCTAAAATTCAGAAACTATCATAGTACATTAATGAGGTAAGATTTAGAAATACAAAGGAATGAGGAACAGCTAAGACTGTGGGTTTCTAAAGGCACAAGATGGCTATAAACTTTGGAATCACTGCAAATGACTTTAAGTAAGACCTGCCATTTACACTTGGCAAATGAACCACCATATGCCTAAGACTGAAACTTTGAAAGAGCCTTATAATATTTAAGGAATTAAAGAAGTTGAGGCTAGTAAAATATCAGTTTATTGCAATATTCTCAGCAAGAAATGACGAGGGACTGCAATAAAGCTAAAACATTATGGATAAGGAATAGAGGATTAATTTCAGGGTATTCTTGATGTAAAATCAAAAAGACTTGATAAATATCCACATAGGGGATGGATGTTGGAGAGAGTAAAAAGAGAAAAAAGTTAAGAATAACACTAAGTTTCTACTTCGGGAGACTGAATTGAGAAAGGAGGTGGTTTATGGTTTAAAATATTTTACACATACATTGTCTTAATTAAGATTATATTTATGTTATAATTTACCATTATCACTCTGCTGAAAGGTTAATTAAATATGTGGATATATACAGCATCATAGTTTTCTAAAATATTTTCCCATTTAGTGCTTCTTAGTAACTTGATAAAAAGTGCCATTTTTGTTATTTATAGCCATATTTATTTTAAATATTTTTAGTAAGTGATGATGTTTTCCTTTCTAACTCTTGTATTGGTTTTAATTATTTTTGTTAGTGGTTCTTACTAAGTATTTAAAATATATTTGATTATCTTGTCAGTCTGAAACAAAGTTTTAGGCTTTGCATATTTATTCACCATTTACACAATTTATTGAAAGACATGAAAGAGCAAAACTGTGGTGTCAAATAATCTGGCTCTATCATGAAGCTTAAATGTTAAAACCAGTAATGGTTAAAGTCAATTTTTGATCTTTGTGGTGGTATAGTTTCAAGCAAGTCTCCATTTTAACAAATAAAACCAAAACCAAAACAAAGTTTAAAACACTCTCAAGACACCACTAAATCCATTTGGTAAAGATATAGTAACAGTAATAACATTCAATTTTTTTCTTATTAACTAAGGTACTTAGTGCAAAAATGATGCAAAAATGAATAAATCTTTGCCTTAACACTTAGTCTGTTGGAGGGGGTTGTAGACAACCCATAGGTAAGATGTTTTAAGTTTTATAGTACAGTTGAAAATAAAGTTCTATAGGAACACAGATGAGGATGCAAGTAATTCTTCTTGGAGATCGGATAGAATAAGGAGGTAAAGGGCTTTCACGGTGGAGATTACTTGAGGGTAGAACCCATAGGGCTGAATAGGAGGAATTTGTCAGTTGCAGAAAGAGAAGGACATTGAGAACATGCGTGGGAAAGCAAGAAAGTAAGTCTGGGGTAGGCAGCACAGGGCAAACTAGAAAAAGAGATGAAACCAAAAGTTAAAGTAGGACTTCGTTGTGAAGATACGGCACACCGTGCTTAGGACATTAGGCTTTAGGAATCTCGAAGTGCAGAGTGAATTTCTGACTTAACTCTAGTGGGAGCTTGTGTCAACATTGCCTTCTGGGGTTTATCTCATGAACTCATTTATTCTTTCATTCATTCAGATCTGAACTGTGAAAAGATACCAAGCTGAAAGGAATGACAGGTCCTGTCCTTAAAGCAGTTTACTGTTATTGAAAATATTTGCAGTGGGCTTGGAAGAGTAGGTAAGATTTGAACAAGTGTCATTAATATTTTAATAATGATGGGTGGAGGATAAAACCTTTTGCATTTCTTGTTTATCACTAGTCTATTTTCAAGGTAACATTTTAAAAATAAAGCAAACCCCCACATAAATAGTAATTTCAGTAGTGTAATATTTAAATAAGGAAGTACAAGAAAAGACTTCTTTTTCTGTCATCATTGCTATAAGTTTCTTCAGGATAGAAAACAAAACAGTGTACATTTCTGTACATCCAGCAGTGTCTTAGACAGTTCTCAAACAATTGTTGAATTAAATTGAATACTTCTGGGTTTTATTTGTGTTTTAGTCCTTAAACAGTGCATAGTTTTTAAATAATGGTGTGATGGCCATCTTAAAAAAAATAGGATGTTCTTGGGCCAATTAGTAAGATGAAGAATCAAATACTAAGTTACAGACCAATCTAGAATTGCAAAACTATGGCATATTCTTTACAGATAGAATGCTTGTTCCTAAAATCATGTTTAGTGCACTAATTACAACCACCTTAGCTATGAAAGCTGTCCTTCAAGCTTAGAGCAGATTGCTTTAGAATGGAATGTAGAATTGTGGAAAATCTAGGATAAAGAACAAAGGAATTTAAGATATATAGAACTTTAAGAAATCACTAATGTATAATCTGAACTGCTGCCACATTCTCATTTATAGTGTTGATGGAGTGCTTATCCAGCAAGGCTTTCTACAGATTTAAGTAAACATTTCTCTGGAGGAATTTACAAGCTAAAGTCAAAGCAAATGCCCAGAACTGGAATCACAATTTATCTAAGAGTATTTACAAGACAGGAGGCTGATGAACATCTTATTACCTCAAGTAGTATGCCAGTTGTATCTTGCCCTGTAATGCTCCCATGGGTTCTGAAGTTAGAATTCCTGTGATACATTATTGTATTTCTTACAGATTTTTACCAGGTGACATAAAACTTATCAACTTGGAAACAATCATCAAGGGGCTTTGGGTTTTGGTTTACTGAGTGGTAATTATATGTTTCTTATAAATGTGTACATAATAGTAATAAATATTTTGAAAATTATTTTCTTTATGGTTATGGAATTCACAAAAATCGGAAGTGCCTGGAAACCAATTATTCTCAAAGCAGAGAAGATAACATTTACAGTATCTATCAGGTATGAGTCAGAACTGTATTATTTTTTCTTAAAATAAATGAAATAGTTGCAAGATACAATTGTTACTTTAAGTATTTCATCCATAATACTGGAGGGCATCCCACAGTGGATACGAAACTTTCTACAGTCTTAAAGTGAAAATTAATAATTATCTGGGTAATAATTTCCGCAGACATTTTCCTGAAATACTCAGATTGGAAGTACCAGTGACTTCTTCCCCCCAAATGTGGAAATCTAGTTTGAAATGCCACCGGGATGATTAAGAGCGTTTAAAAAACCTTTTCCACACACACCGCAACTGAGTCCGGTCCTGACAGGAGGACACAACTTTCCTGGACCATACGCTCAAGAGCAACTGTGGAGAAGCCGCTTCTGAGGAAAACATGGAATTTAGAATTTTAAAAATAATGTTTCCGTTCACAAATTCTTAGAAAAAGAGATTCTGATTTTTCTTTTTAATTCTACCAGAGGGGAGGAAATATTTAGGTCAGGGTCCGTGGCTTTCGAAAGAGGAGCTAGAAATGCACAGGGTAGTGGACCCTGGCGCTCTGCGCTCTGAAACAGACCTGGGTCTCGCGGGTGGTGGGGGGCGTGGCTGGCGCCGAAGCTGGGGCTAAAGCCGGGACTCAGGGGGCGTGTCGGGGGGCGTGGCCAGGGCGGCAGCTGGTTGGGTTGGGCGGAGCCGCCTCGCGCCGGCCGACAGGCAGAAGCCTGGCGGGAACTCGGGCGGTTCTTCTCAGTTCGCTGTCATGTCGCTCACGCGCCACACGACGCAGCCGACGGAGCTCGGGGAGTCCGCCTCCCCCTCGCCACCTCCTGGGGACCCTGATTCCCAGCCGCCCCGCAGTAAGCGGCTCCGACTCCAGGAGCCCGGCGTTGCGTCTGATTTGAGTTGGAGGCTGCCTTTGGTGCCTCGCTTGTCAGAGGTGGAAAAAGTCGGGGAGTTTTCGCCCAGACCCTTCAAGGCGCTCCTTGTTCCAGCTAACGCGAATTTTGGTAACTCCACGGCTTCGCGTGCGGAGAAATCCGTCAGCGGGAAGCAGAGATGTAATCTGGGGGGCCCAAATGGACAATCTGGGACGAACAGTTGTCGGCAGTCCCTCCCCTCACGAAATCCTGGTTCTTGTGGGAGGGCTTCCCGGAGGTCTTCTGAACTGGGGCTTCTGGACCGGAAACCAGGTGACCAGTCGGTGTCCAGCGTGCCCTGCAGCGAGAGCGCCGAAGCGGAGGCTGGGCAGCTTCTGCCCCGCGCCTCTGTGTACCATGGACATGCAGTTCCCGACGAGGATGGAAGACAGTATTTAGTCCAAGGGAGAGACAATATTCAGGACAACGGTTACATAAAACAGGCTGAACATCTATTTTTGGATGTTACTTTTTGCAAGGAAACCAAATCAACATCTCATGAAATTAACAACAGATGTAAGGCTGACAGTGTTATGCCATCAAATAAAAAGGAAAATAACATTTCAACATCTACATTTCTAAAAATATCAAAACCTCAAAACCAGCCCAGCGTGGCAATGGCCAAATCCAGCTGTTTTAGAGATAGCAGCACAATAAGTATCCCTGAGTTTCCAACTGATTTGAATAACAAAATGTGTTCTGTCTATTTAAAGGAAACAGCAAAGAAAAAGAAGGACAAAAATAAGGCATATGTTAGGGATTTCACAGACATTTACTGGTCCCAAAATAGACCTGATGTGAAGAAGCAAAAGGTACAGGATGAAGAAAAAATTGTGGATGCAGAAGGTATTTTTTCTTCATATTCTAAGAGTAACCAACAGTCACTCAGCAACCAAAATACTTGTGTGAGAATAAAAGACTTGATCAGTTTAAACTGCTATAACCGCAGTAGTATCAAGTCTGATGTAAGAGACTCTGAAAATAATTTCATTATAATACTAGAAAGTGCAGATTGGAAAGAAGTGGAAACATGCCTGGACAGTTACGTAAATACCAGATTGGAAAAATCTCAAAGCTGGGACTGTAATATTAGACATATTTTGAGAAAAAATAGAGAAAATTGTTGGGTTATGGAAAATTACAAGACTAAATGTGAAGATATGAAAAAAACTGGAGAAAAATTAACTGTGCTGCAATTATTAGAAGTATTTCTTTTAAGCAAAGAAGACTATCACAATACAAAAGCCACGAATTCATATGAAGAACAATCAAGGCATCTCATGATAGCAACATTAGATACCCAAAAAGCTCTAAAACAATTATTTTGGTTAAATAGTAAAGGGGAAAACATTAATGTGCTACAGCTGAGCTATACTGCTACACAAAAAGACTTCCATTTAAGTGACATTTTTGAAAGTTTCATTATAGAAATTTTTTATTTCCATAAAAGCATTTCAGGAAATCAAAAAGATAATAGTATTTTAACCTGGTATGAAAATTTGAAGTGTAAAAAGCAAATTGATATTCAAAATCTAGTAACTAGGAATATGATTATCAATGGCAAGAATGGTATATTAAGCATATATTTACAAGCCAGTGTTTCAGAATCTCCAAATATCATATTGCAAATCAGCAAAGCTTTTTTGCTCAATAATTTTGACTGTTTAGCAAGAACTGAAAATAATTCTAAATTAGAAGAGGGATGCATTTTCAAATGGATAGTGTATTTGAATTATTCAAAAAACATAAGGGAAAATCATACTGTGTATCTAATGAGGATTTTAACTGCTTCAAGACTATTAGAAGGTAACATGAAACCTATGTTAGAGAAAAGAAAGCTACTTAAAACTGAGCAAGTTTCTAAAGAGCCTAAGAAAAAGACCATCAATTCCTTCAGTATTGCAACTAAAAGTACACATTTTCCAATTTTTGAGACACATGAAAAAATTCCTCTTTTGACAAAAGAAATTAGTTACAAAAGTAAGAGTTGTTTTGAACAATTCGAGAATGTGGAACATTGGGCTTACTGTAGTCCTAATGCTGTGAAAACTCATGTTAACTCTGGTCTTAAAATGATAGAGAACGACCATAGACATATTAATGAAAAAACTTATGAAATAAATATACACAACCAGGATTTAGATATTGAAAGAAAACATAAGCATAATAGGATCAGAAGCTTTAATTTTAAGTGCATATTTGAAGATTTCTTTAATATTAAGCAACAAACCATATTGACAAACTGTGACACAAAACATAGTGAACAAACCAATCCCACAATTATAACTCATGTGCTAAATTTTGGGAACTTGCTAAGTGTACCTGAAGGAAAAAAACATGACTCAATTTTGAGAGAGGAAGTAGAAGTCACACCACAAAATTTAACAAACAGTTGCCAAGTTCATAAAGATATTAAAGTAGAAAAGGAAGAGAAAAATAGTTTTTATTCAATGGATGGCATGTTTTCTGTGCAACTAGTTCCATTTATGGGTACGGAGGTAAATGTGGAAGAAATGAAATATGTTAATCAAAATAATGTAGCCGACAGAAATTGGAGTATTTTACAACAAACTGAGTTGGCTAATTCAAACCATTGTCATCCAAAGAATGATGCTACAGAATGTGTTAATCATCAGTTTGAAACTGATTTGAGTGTAGGGAACAATGAACGTTTTCAGGATTTAACTGCCAAGTGTTTATCAACAGAAGCTCTGACAATAGTAAGAGATTTGGAGATGAAGAGTAAATTTGATTTAGTGCTTGAAGAACTACGTATGTTTCATGAAATCAGTAAGGAAAATGAAATTCAAAGCTCTGAGGAAACAAACAATGGGCAAAAAACTTACTTTAAAGGAAATAATGATATTGAGGCAGTAAAAACAGAAACAAGAGATTTGAAAATAGCTACAGTCAACAAAATATGTGCATCTTCTTCATTCTGTGACATAACAGCGTGTCCTAATATGCACAAAAGACACCAAAGTTTATTTAAATGGAAAACAGTATCCAGTATTGGAGAACAGGAAGTTCCAAATGAATATTGCTGTCCAAGAAAGTCAGAGGAAGAATTTCTCTATTCTATTCCTGAGGAAGGTATGAAATTAATTTTAACATATTCTTTCTCATGATAAAAAGAAAAAGAAAAATTGCTGCTTTTTTCTGTGTCAACCAAATACATAATTTGGGTAAAAGAAGATAAGGAGTAAACCATGTTGATGCCCATCATATTCTTATGAAAGGCTATTTAAACTTTAAATAATACACAGAAGTCAAGGTAACAAGGGATTACATTTTTATTTATTTATTTATTTTAATTTTTTAAAAATTTTGGTATCATTAATCTATAATTACATGAAGGACATTATGTTTACTAGGCTCCCCCCTTCATTAAGTTGCCCCACGTCCCTGTTCACAGTCACTGTCCATCAAAATAGTAAGATGCTGTAAAATCACTACTTGTCACCAAGTTCACAGTCACTGTCCTTCAACATAGTAAGATGCTGTAGAAAGGGGATTACATTTTTAAAAGGAGTTTTCAAGAAGTCTTGATTCATTTATCTAAATATTAGGAGCCAATGGAAAGAAATGTTTCTGAAAACATAATTGTTTTTTAGTATTAACATTTTACATAAAAGTTACTCTTTTCTATAACAGATTTATCATTATTTTCAGATGGTGAAAAACCTTTACCTGAAAGATCTGCTTTTTTCTCTGATGATTTTAAGGAAGAAAAATTTAACTATTTATTAAGGAGAGGTAAGATTTTTAGTTATTTGCTAGAATACCTTCTGAGATGATTATTGCATTCTTGTATTTTTAGCATGAGGAAAATATACTTAGATTGTATATTTAATGCTTTTGTAAATAGTAATTTACTGATCCAAATTCCAATGGTTAAAAATTGGCTAAAAATTAAAATGCCACTTAGAATATAATATATGCATCTAATATGTGTAATACTGGCAAAACCAAAACAAACATTTATCTAAGTTGGATTTCCACTGATGAGATGCTACTTACAATCATGTATTTATTATCAATGTTTATCCTTTAAATATGGGGCTTTTTATCTGGACATTTTATTTAATAACTTAAAAAATTGAGTATCATTTAGATAAATTAACATGATTTATGACTATGCCATTTAAACTTTTTATTACTAGTAAAAAAATAAAACTAAAGAAAAGTTAAACAACTAACCTATCCTTTGCCTAAGAAGTCTGTGATATCAGAATAAAACATACCAAATCTACCATCTACTCTAACTTCTAGGACCAATAGGGCTAGGTACGGTAGAACTGAAATTAGGAAATGGTGTTCTAATTGACTAAATTTTCATATGGTAAGAAATTTCTGGTATTACATAAGACTAGATCTAAGAAGAATAATGATGTAGGTGAAATATATTAAGCAAAACATCTGCAATTGCAGAAGATGAGAAACATCATTTCTCAAAACATTTTTCCTGGCTTCTCATCAGTAGTAGAATTCTGTTTCTAGTACTGGAGTAAAGATTTGGTCACTTTAGATTTGCATCTTTCCCTGTTTTCTTAGTTAACAATGAAATAATCATAAAAACTAATCCATGCCAATGGAAGATCAAAAGCTCACAGGTAGTCTGTTCTCCCTTGAACCAAGGGAATAACTGAGGTAATTATACTATGTTAGACTAGAAACAGAGTGGTGGAATTAGCCTGCAAAGGATAGGGGTTATTCCTTCCAGGACAGAAAGAAACAAATTGGGTTTAGGAACATATTTTGAGATAGAACGGAGGAACATTAGGGATCCTGTGCTCGTATTATCATCATGATTGCAATTGTGATAATGAAATGGATGTATGAGGAAGATTACAAAATACACACTGTTTGGACATATTACATTCATTCGAAATATCTGAACCCATAATACTCTATTGTATCTTCACAAGGAAAAGTGCCTCATTGTCCTGAATATGAGAAATTATACGGTCAGCTGGAATTATTTAATACTATGTTAGGATAGTCATCTTGGATTCACTTTCCAGGTACATAAAAATGGAGTGATCTTCCCGAGGCTTGTGAAAATTCATAAGGAAAAGTGGGGAGATACTGGGAAGTAGAGATACTAAGAATGGACTAACTAACTGCACAGGCAGAGTGGGTATGCAGTGTGATTTTTAAAGGTTGGGAAACTCCTGGTTGTGATGAAATGTTTTTGATACCTACCCACTTGTCATCATCATGCCTCCAACAAAAGTTTCTACCACTAATGTCTCCAGTGCATCCTGTCTCTCTTTGTCTCCCCTCTCCTTGTGGTGTAGACAAGGAAGTAGTTTGAAATTATTGTGAGTATGAGTAATATACCGACCAGCCAGTGCACCAGGTGCTTTACATATCATTCAACACTGATACTTCCCTAACCTCAATGTATATACAAATTGTATATAAAAGAAATGACAAGGTGTCTTGTCAAATAATTTTGATTCTGTTGTGGGGTAGACCCTAAGATTCTGCATTCTCAACAAGCTCCTAGCAAATGTAGGTGCTACTAGTTTGTGGATTGCAATGATTTAGAAAACAATTGAGTTAATATTATTTCTGAAAGACCACTAATACATTTCATGACCTTTTTTAAACAGTGATTTTTAAAATAAACAACTTATGGTATTGTGCTTGAATATTTAGAATTGTTAAACAATATAAAACAATAGACTGATCCAGCATATAGCAATAATAAAAGGGATCACTATTTATTTATTAGCAATGTAGGAAAGCCAAGGAGACAGAGAAGCACATCTATGTGATCACAGCTTAATGACTGTTGAAGGGCATAGGCTTTAAAAAGATCTGCTGCTGATACAAATTGGTTCAATGTTTTCCCATTCACTGCAAAATTATTAGAAGTATCTGTCATACTAGAATATGAAACAGGAAGGCTATACTTTGAAAAAGTAATCAGATACACTAATCATGGCTTCGTTCTGAAATAACAATCTCATAGTGAAGAAGTCCACTCTGCATAAATTGCTGAAATTATCTAATTTATAACCAAATCTAGTGTATCAGGTATGATACAATAATTTTGTTTTATTTGGACAATCCCTTTCTAAAAAATGAAAAAAAAATCTAATGGTATGTACTTCCCTCTTATTTTTTATATAACTATAATTTCATGTTGAATAAGGTATCAAAAACTGATTTATAGCTATTTTTGTGTTCTTCTCTCTTTAAATATAGTTAAATTTTGTATGCTATTTCATTATTGTTTACATAGATGCACACACAGATTTTTGTTGTGTTCAACTTAATAGAAATCATGCTTTTAATCTTATGTCAGATTTAGCATTAGGTTGATTACACTGTTTTCATTTCAATGTAATGTGCTATTATATTAAGGTCATACTAATTCATTAAAGCTTGCTTAAAGTGTGATACATTTTTAGCTTTACATATGTGTATCACTATTTATTTTTTTAAAAAGCACTTTAAAAATTAGAGGTCTTTTTTGTATTTTGCTATCAAGTGTAGTTCATCCTATCTGTCTGGTCAACCGATTTTGTAACAGATATACCTCCATGAAATGTTTTGAACTTTCTTGAAAATGATAGCGTGATGTTAAATAAAAGCTTCAGTATCAGAGCCCTCCATTGATATATAACAAATGAAATACATTTGTTCTCTGTTATTGATAATTAATCTCTATCAGAAGCCAAACATAATTATTAACAATATAGCCTAGTTGTTCAGGTTTTAACAGAAAAATGACATGGTTTATTTAAAGCCACTATATCAAGTTAACCTTAAGAACCTACATACTGTTATTGTTGTTAAGTCTGCCTTACTGGAATGCTGATTTTATTTAGTTGCTATTTTATATTGGGAAAGTTACTTAACATTTTTTGTGCTGAGGTTTCCACATTTGAAAAATGAAGGTAGGATTAAGTAAACTAATGTCTTCAAAACATTTAGTTCAGTGACTAAGTAAATGTTAGATTATGATAAAAGGAAACAGTTTTAAGCTTAGAAACAGTAATTTTTACTCCCTTACATACTTTTATTGTCTTATATTTTTAGGTAGTAACTTTTCACATGGAATTTCAAGAGTATTACCTCTTAAGACATGCAGTCGGCCAATCAGAATTGGTTTGTCAAGAAAAGCTAAGCTTAAAAAACTCCATCCCTATCTGAAATGAATGTTGCGAGAACTTAAAAGAAGATAATGGACTTTAATATATTTCAAAGCATTTCACAACACCTATCAATCTTTTTTTCTGTCTTTAGTTAAATGCTTTCCTCCAGCTTAGGAATTTTGGCTTTTCCTTATTACTAAGTATGAAGAGGGTTTGCGTGTGTGAATTATTTAATTACCTCTAAATGTTATAAATATTTCATTAATGTTTTCATGTCACATTAACAATGTACCCATTAAAGGCTTTTCATTGTCTTAAGAAACACGTCAACTTATTGTTCTTCATGATATTTGTGGAGATTGATAGCCTTTATAGATTTCTCAGAAGGATTTGTGACTCATAAAAAGGCAATGAACCACTGTTCCAATCCACTTCTCCTATTTTTCAAGGAGAAAAAAACAGAGGTACAAGAGGATGGTTAAATTTTTCAATATCACTGTTAATATCAGATTCGGATAGAGGCACTCTCCTCTGTAGCATTCTTTCCTACTTTTCTCTGCATTCTCTAATTTTTATTTCCCCTATCCCATGTCTACCTTTGGTCCCAGAGCAGAATTATGATGATGTAGTTAATACGTACTATTAATTTATTCACTCATAGAACAAATATATTTTAGTACTCCTTCCATTGTGTTAGGCTCTGTAATAGAATACAGAAGAAGACTGCCTTATGGAGCTTAATTTCTCTGCTTTATTAGTAAAGAAATGGAGGATATACATGATATAAAGTAACCATCAGTAGAATAATACTTTTCAAAAAAGGTTAAACTGGCCTACTTAACAAAAAGTAAGGAAAGAAGGAAACATCAAGAAGACAAAAAACAACATACAATGACAAAGACTAAAAGTATCAGTTCATAAAAGTAAATGTGACTGGATTAAATGATTCTATTATAAACCAACGTTCTCAGATATACTAAAAACAGTCTCAAACTCAGCTCTATTCATCAATTTCCATCCCCCATCATGTACTTTCTAACTTTAATATACTGCTCTAATATTTTTCCCCTAGAGAACTCATCACCTTCTCACATGCCCAATAATTTATATCTTGCTAGAATAAATGCAAGCTCTTTGAGGACAGGATTCTTTCCCTTTTCCCCACTAATATATCCCAAGTGCCCAGAATAGTGCCTGTCCTTTCAAAGTGCCCTTAAAATATTACTTGAGTGAATGAATGAATTTCTACATGTGCTTATAATAGCTCTGTCCTTTTGAATTCTTAAGAGCTTTATGATCTTGGATAAGTCCTCATTTCTAAAAAGAGACAACTATTTATGGGATCATTGTGAGGATTAAATGAGCAAATACTTGTTATATATTTTAGCTCTGATACATACTAACTACTCATTAATGAATAAGAATTTACTGATACATAGTAACCACTCAATGTTTAATGCTAGAATACTTGACTTTTCTTGAAATTGTTTTTGGATAATGAATTAGATTATTTTTTAGCAATATTTGCCTATTCCTATGAGTTTTATGAAGGTATCCCTTTTGCTTTTTTTCTACAAGTTTCATCTTCCTTTTCCTTCTTTTTATTATTATTATAAGCCTCATATTGGGTTTTTCTTTTATCTTTATACAAGACAAATCTTATCACAATGAAGGTTTGTTTTCAAAAACCTTGGTCTTTTTCCCTGTTCTCTGTCCCTGTGTGTGAATATTGATTTCTGTTCTCATATTTTCTTGAGGTCAAATTTACATGCTTCCAGTATTATTCCTAATCTTTAGGAGAACTTATAGATGCTTTCATCATTTCTTTAATAAATGGTGTATAAACTATTAACCTTAAAAATAAAATTGACAGTTATCTAACCAGGAAAAGTGGGGTTACTTGGGAATAGTAGGGAAAGGAAAGGGATGATATTTTATAGAAGAAAGAGGGTACTTGGGAGGGACTGTTATAAACAAATAGTCCATTGTTGTCAACTGAGAGTTCAAAGTATAGTGACTTTTCATTGGCTGAGTTGTGACAGTCTTTCATTGGCTAGGCTGTTGCCAGGCTAGGAGAACATCTTCCTCCTGTTGGGTTTTTTTAAGTGCAGTTTTCTTTCTGTTGAGAATGCTGTGTAATACTGAGAACTAAGACAATCAGATAACAGAAAGGTTCCAGATTATGCTTTCCCTACTTTGTTGTAAAATATATCATTGCTTGAAAATATCCTTACCAGATATTCCTATTTCATGTTTTATTTTTTTAAAGCCCAGGCACATGCTATAACAGCAAAGATATTGTTGCAGTCTACAGTTGATATGGGGTGGTAGGGAATGAGAGCTTCCCATTCTGGCCTCCCAACTCCGTTTTGAATGTGGGTTCCTTTATCCAGTTTCATGAAAATTACACTCATTGTTGATTCATGCTTTGAACTGATCCTGTGGTAAGTTAAACTCCCAGCAAGTACTGTACTGTTTACAGTGGTAAGTACCCCATTACTGCTTTGATCTATAGAGCTTTTCTTATTAAAAAGTTTTAGAGATTACACCTCCCCAAATGCAAAATGTGCTCCTACTAGTGTCATTATTCAAGCTCCTCTTCTCCCAGTATTTCCTACCCAAACACACATATACATGCACAAACAGACATCACCTTTCCCCTGCTGCCTGGCTCTGTGAGTTCTTGTCCCTGGCATTAGAAAGCTGGAGGGTAGGAGGGAGGTAACATTTTAGCTCTTACGTTTTTGTGTCTTTATAGCCAGGTTTGGAGAGGCTGCATTGGGGGCTGTTGTAGAAGGCATTTTAAACTGAAATCCATCATCCTTCTACCTTGTTCCTTTTATCTGTTTTCTTAAAACATGGAAGTTGAATGTTTTCAGATCAAAAGAAGATATTCAAAGGATGAAAAGCTACTTCAGAAAAATATTTGGTTTTATTTCAACCTTAGAATAAATTTCTGCATTACTTTAGTTTAAAGTAACAAGCTTTTGGATGCATAACAGTGAGCATGAGAAGAGAAATAGAGCCTTATATTAAATCACTTTGAAAAAGTTATGTTGATAGTACCTTAAGAATGCAAATCTCTGAGTTAATATTATCCATTTAACTTTATTTAGTAAAGCAAAATGGAAAAAACATGTAGTGAAGTTCATCTTTAATTCCATCTAAATTGTTACATAAAAGAAAATAGAGTTAGCCATCATTTTGGGAGATTTTTCTAATAGCACAGAGATCACACATTTACATAAACTTACAATAGTTTGTGGCAGTGTATACTACTAAAAAAATTATCTTTGGGCTAAGAGAACTAAGACAGACAACAGAAAGACTCCAGATTATGTTTTCTCTACTTTGTTGTAAAATATATCATTGCTTGAAAATATCCTTGCCAGATATTCCTTTTTCATGTTTTATTTTTTTAAAGCCCAGGCACATGCTATAACAGCAAAGTCAAAAGAAATAGTCATTAAAACTATTCTACCTATTCAGGCTATGGGCAAAACAGTAAAACTCATGATCTAAAAATCCCCGTAATTATGTTTCTGGAATTTTATACACACGTTATTTTTTAAAAAAGGCAATCTTGTGGCCTTCTTGCCTGAACTTAACTAGTAACTGTCTACTCAGCATCTCTGCTGTGAAGTCATAAGCATGTCAGACCGAACATGCCCCAAAATGAACTCCTGATTTTTTCCCCCAAACTCCTCCTCCCACTGGGTTTCTCATGCCCACAAATGGTAACTCCATTCTTTCAGTTCCTCAGCTTAAAAATCTTGGAGACTTCTTTGACACTTCTTTTTTTCTTACAACTCACAGCTGGCCCATCAGCAAATCCTGTTGGGTTTAGCTTTTTCTGCCAGGGCGATTGCAGTGGAGAGCTAATTGGTCCCCTCAATCTATTCTGAACACATTAGCCAGAACTACTCTTTGATGTATGTCGTAGCACATCACATCTCTGCTTGATGCTTTCTGAGTCTTGCTGTCACTTACTGATCTGACCCTCTCTCATTTCCCTAAACTCCGCTTTAATATCTTCACCTGTTCATTCTACAGAAACCACACTGGCCTTGCTGTTCACTGGATACTTTAGGAATGTCCCTGCCTTAAGGTCTTTTTACTTGTTTTCTTTCCTAAGGTATCTGTATAGCTTGCCCTGCACTCCTTTCCTTAGAACTTTACTCAAATGTCACCTTCTTAGTGTGGCTTTTGCTTCCTACTAACATTCACATGTGCCTTCTCTGCTTTTATCTTTTTCTCCTTAATACTTTACTATCAACGTACTGTGTATTTTACTTATCTTGTTTATTGTCTGCCTTTCCTTCTAGGTTTTTAAACTTTATGGGAGCCAAAGTTTTTCTTATTTTGCCTATTACTGTATTCCCAGTGCCTAGGATAGTGCTTGATATAATAAATATTCAATGAAGGGTAGTTGAATGTAAGAATGAACAATGTAAACAAGAATAGGTGTGTCTTAAAGGTATCAGGTTTGCCTTTTTTTCTTGAGGCATATAGTTCTGTGCCCTCCTAGGATTTAAAGGTCTCTTCCATCCTCTGTGCTAGTCTTCTTGCATTTTTTCCTTTTACCAAAGATGTGAAAACAAAGCACGGATCTAGATCAGTTACTATGTATTTTTCTTCAGAAATTCAGCAGCTTAACTTGTTAGAATTTTAGATGTCTTTTTCTATGAAGAGAAAAATAAGGTAAAACAAAGTGAACTATAGCATGAATAATTTTGGAAACTAAGTTATAAAAATTCTTTTCAAAATTCATTGTCCTCTTATCCCATTTAAAATCTCTATAAAGTTAACATAAATTTAAATTTTCTAAGTTATTTCCTTTGTGTTAGTAAAAAAACAACAGCTGTTAGAGTACTCCAAAATTTTTATTTTTGACTTTTTATTATGTTTACCTTTTAAATAATCTTTTAAGTTTTATTCAGTTATTTATTTTTGAAAAATTAATATCTAGACATAGTACAAAATTCAAAAGATAAAAAAAGGATAAAGAAACACTGAATATAAATCCTCCTTGTCTTTTTTGACATTTAGCTCTTTAATTTCCC